TCTTCCAGTCCAGCTCTCTGCTGTGGCCCGGGAGGGCAGTGGAGGATGGCCCAAGTGCTTGGGCCCCTGCACCCGCATGGGAGACCAGGAAGAAGCACCTGGCTCCTGGCTTCGGATCAGCACAGCACCGGCCGTAGCGGCCATTTGGGGAGTGAACCAACAGAAGGAAGGCCTTTCTCTCTGTCTCTCTCTCTCACTGTCTTTAACTCTACCTATCGAATCAATTTTAAAAAAAGTAATTAAAAAAATAATACAGAATAAGTTATGCCCACAACACTGGATACCAAGTTTTGGAGATCTGGATACAGCAATATCAAAATATGAAACTAAATTGAATGTGCAGATCTTGCTAGCCGCAGATGGCTTTCTGTGATCTGAAATCACTCACTTTCCTGTCTCTGGAGAATAAGGCTTAAAATATCCTGGGTATGTGTCACCTCCTCCCACTCAGTCTAACAAACAGTAGGAGATCACACTGCATCATCACTAGCTCTGGGTTGTAACAATACTCATGTTGGAACGGGAAACCTCCCCAAGTAGTGGACAAAAATATAATTCTCCTTTGCCTGCCTACAGTTTCCAGTTTGATTTTTACCCTCAATGAAAATCAAATTAAACACCCCTTAAAGTTCACCAGAGATGAGTTTGTAAAGGTATTTGGAGGCTTTGTGCGTTGGATGGTTGGAAGGAAAATATGTGTGAATATATGCATATGACTAGGTACATTTATAAAGCACCCATCACACAGTACCTTCATAGTCCTTTCTACTATTTCTTTTCAACCTCAAACATAAGTCATAGCCTAATCAAAGTTAATTAAAGAGTCTCAAGGAAAAAGGAGTGTGTTTGGAATTTGGACCACGATAAAAGAAGTTACTACACAAATATATGAAAGAAGACTATTTTACAAACTGTCAGCAGAAAATGCCCTGAGGGCAAATACAGTAGTGAGTATTTAATAAGGCCAGAGTTATTTCAAAGGGCACTGATCTGTGGAACTCAGCTTACAGGAACAGAGAAAGAAATGCAGTGTTTAGAACTTTATAAAAGTTAAAAATGGGAAAACTATGTGAAGTCCAGGATTATCCTGCCCAGATCAGCCCACACTTCACAGTCTGATGAGGATGAGTATAGTAGTCAAGGTACAGAATTATCTTTCTCTGATGTTAGCACAGATGTAAGGATCCTTCCAAACATGCTAGTTAGACATACATTTATTTTTCTATACCCTTTGAGGACCTCCTCAGATTTTCAGAGGATCAGATTCTCTATATTTACTGCCTCCTACTAAGAACACTTCATTTTATTTTTAACTTCCTTAATTGTCTAAACTTTCAGAGTATTCTTAGTCTTAGCTTCAGTGTTCCCAGATTCTTTGTCCTTTACCCTCACAGAGCCTAGCATAGTGACATTCAGTATGCATTTAGTAAATGATTCATGATTTTACACACCTCGATCACATCTACTCTCAGCCTTTCTCTCTCCAGATTTGAGTCTTGAACTTCAAGTCCATCCTCTTATGACAGCCAAAGTTTAAATTTCACACTCAGTGATATTTAATATAGAAGCTATAAAAGGTGGTCCTAAAATTATAGGCCTGCCACTACCCAGACCAAATTCTAGGTAGTCAAGAAATTGATTTTGCCAAAACATAAACAAAAATAAAAAGTACAGATTCCTCTTGGTTCATCCTCAGCCAAAATGGAAATGAAGTAAATGTTCACGTGCCACGATCATTTGCTCTGTCCCAATCTTAAAAGTCCTTTTGTAAAGTGCTTTAAAAATCTTTATGCCTCTAGAAATGAAAAAGGTATTTGTTGGAATTCCCTCATGTGGACATACTTGTTTCCTTGGAGAACTCAACAAAGCATGGATGACTTTAGAGGTAGTCAGGGGATCTTAAAATGAATCTGCAATTTTCACAGATACTAAAGATTAGTACTTCATGAAGAATATCAAAGTAATCAATCAAAGTAGATGATACATCTAAATCTTAATATTAAACTCCTGTCAACAAATTAGCTCACCTAAAAGCAGTTTATTATATTGGGTTTATAAATTGTTTTTGGATGAGTTCACCCTTTGCCAGGAAAATTAGTGTATGTGTGTATATGTGTATGTGTGTGTCTGTGTGTGTGCGTGTGTGGTGGTAGTGGTAGTTGTGGTGGTGGTAGAAGGACATGCTTGTTAGAACAGAAGTTTCTAACTTCAACATATTTTCAATAAGTTTTACTAGGTCTGAATAAAAGAAAGATAGAAAAAGACTAAAATATAGACTAGCTTGAATGTACATTTCCCCCTTCCCCCTCATTTGTCACTTCATGTTCCACAATTTCAGTTACCAAGGGCCAAACAGAATCCAAAAATATTAAGTGGAAAATTCCAGAAGTAATTCAAAAGTTTTAGATTGTATACCATTCTGAGAAGCATAATGAAATCTTGTGCTATCCTACTCCATCCTACATAGTTTTCTCTTTTTTATTTATTTATTTGAAAGGCAGAGTTATATAGAGAGGCAGAGAGAGAGAGAGAGAGAGAGAGAGAGATCTTCCATCCACTGGTTCACTCCCCAGATAGCCACAATGGCTGGAGCTGTGCCAATTGGAAGCCAGGAGCTTCTTTAAGGGTCTCCCATGCAGGTGCAGGGGCCCAAGGACTTAGGCCATTCTCCACTGCTTTCCCAAACCATAGCAGAGAGCTGGATTGGAAGTAGAGCAGCTGGAACTTGACCCAGCACCCATATGGGATGCCAGCACTGCAGGCGGTGGCTCTACCTGCTACACCACAGTGCCAGTACCCGTAGTTTTTTCATAACACACATTTCCATGAATTTTTGGAAGTACACCATATAATGCCACTTGTTCATTAGTCAATAGTCATCTTGGTTATGACATAAGCTGTTGTGGTATTGCCTCACTTGTAACCCTTTCATGATAGTCTAAGGATCCAGCACAATACCTGTGTCCTTCATTTCATCACATAGGCATCTCACATCATGACAAGGAGGGTGAGTACAGTACAATATAACATTTTTAAGAGACCACATTTGCATAACTTTTATTTCAGTACATTGCTATAATTATTCTCTGTAATCATTAAGTATTGTTAGTCTCTTATGTGCCTAATTTATAAATTAAACTTAGACCTATACCCTAGGTATGTATGTATATGAAAAACATAGTATATATAGGACTTACTGTCCAGTTTCAGGCATCTACTAGGAGTCTTGGAATATAAGCCCTGTGAATAAGGCAGGTGGGGAGGGCTACATTAATTCCATGTGGTTATTTTCCAGAGCAATGTCAATAGCACCAACAGAAGACAGAGTTGAATCATGTGTTCTTTATATGTGTCTGACACTTTTTACAATTATTATTTTTTAATTTTCTGTCTAAATACTTTAAGATTTATTTATTTATTTACTTGAAAGGAAGAATGACATAGAAAAGAGAGAGAGATCTTCCATCTGCTGATTCACTCCTCAAATGGCCGCAATGGCCGGAGCTGGATCAGGCCTAAGCCAGGACCCTGGAACTTCATCTGGGTCTTTCATGTGAGTAGCAGGGACCCAGGTACTTGAGCCAACATCCACTGCTTTCCCAGGTACATTAGCAGGGAGCTGGATCAGAAGCAGAGCAGTTGGGACTCTAACAAGTACTCTAATATAGGATGCAAATGTCACAAGTGGCAGCTTAACTATGCCACAATGTCAGTCCCATATGATTTATTATCTCATAAGATACTTACAACAACCTAGGCATCAAGTGACCCGCTCATCCTCACTTTTCGAGCTCTGTCTTAATTTTAAACTGAGCTCTGGGGTCTGGGTAAAGCCGCTGCCTGCAATGCCTGTATCCAATATGGGCACCGGTTCATGTTCCAGCTGTTCCACTTCCAATCCAGCTCCCTGCTAATGCACCTGGGAACACAGTACTAGATGGCTCATGTCCCCTAGACCTATGTGGGAGACCCAGATGAAACTCCTGGCTCCTGGTTTCAGCCTGGCCCAGCCCCTGCCTTTGTAGCCATTTGGGGAGTGAACTAGGGGAGAGAAGATTCTCTCTCTCTCTCTCTCTCTCTCTCTCTCTCTTTCTCTGACTCTGCCTCTCTTTAATTCTTTCAGATAAATAAATCTTTTAAAACAAAACAATAACAACAAAAAAACCCTTGACCTCTGCCTCAGTCCTGGGAAAACCAGAGCAGCTGGTCATCTTGGATGAGACAGACCTTTTTTCCCCTCTATTTTACATAATAGGAGACCTCAATTTGGAGATAAATGACTCAATTCAAAGGCACACATCTGGCGTACATGGTATATTCAGTACTAGAACCCATACCTTCTTACTGCTATTATAGTACAAGTATACTTTCCAAGAAACCAGGCTGCAATTAACACAGTGTATAAAAACTGAAAATTTTATTGGCTTTTATTTTTCTAAAAGTTCGGCCATTTCCTGTGTAATGTCACAATTTTGCTCTACGACCTCCCTCTTAGTAGATAATGCAGAGAAAAAAGCTCATTGCCGTTTATCAGAATTATTACAAACTCCCTGTTAACTCAGTGTGAATTGATGAAAATAATTCTAATGCTTTCCAAGTCACTTATTTCTTAATGCAACCATGAATAGAAGCAGTGGCCTATGCATCTATACCATAAAAGAAATGTAACTTACACTACCTCCACCATCTTTTCCCAGTTATTTTAAAGATTTCTTTTTCTGTTTGTGGGAGGAAGCAAGTATCAAAGGGGTGAAAATGTAAAATCATGCCAAACAAAATCATTAGATCTGGCTTTATGTTAATATGTTACTTTTTGATACACAAAGAAGTGAATGTGTGTCCCAACACACCTCTCCCATGACTGTCCTGCCTATGCTGAGTAAAATTGAACCCATGTGTCTTTAAAATGTCTTTCCATTTCTATGGCTTCTTTCAAAATAGTGAGCTCAGTGCAAATGTGGCCCCTAGAATACTAATGCTCATTGGCTGTTTCCCAACAGGTATCACAGTTGATAGGCATGGATTCATTTACTTTGTGGATGGCACTATGATTCGGAGAATTGATGAAAATGCAGTGATCACAACTGTAATCGGCTCAAACGGTCTGACTTCCACGCAGCCACTGAGCTGTGACTCGGGAATGGACATCACTCAGGTAGGCACCACTGGTTTTTCAAGCATTATCGCCATTTGGCATCATTGAAATGGAGAATAATTTTCTCATACAGAAATGAGGTAGAAAGGAAGCCTGGTGGATCTGTTTTAATGCCAGATAGCAGAAGTTTCTCTTTATGTAAGCTACTTTTTTTCTCCTTGGGGTAGGGAAAAAAAAACTTAGTTGGGAGAGTATGGTAAGGCTGGGTGCAATGTGAGGTGGAATATTGACATAAAAATTAAAGTCTCCCAAATTTGAATCATTTGGAGAGTAAGGAGGTCAGCCTCATTTATTGGCTATTTTTCCAAGACATGTAAGGTTATTATTTTTAAATGAAACAACAACTCAAATTTGGAAAAGCAGTCACTTTAGTTGTGACTTAAAATACTTTTAATGAATATATGAACATAACTAGTTATTCATATATAGCCATAGCCATATATGATATATGGCCATTTCTAAGGTATTTGAAAATTTCTTAAGTAAAAGCAACATCCCTTCTGAAATCTGCATATTTTACACTTATTTAGAAAAGCTTTTGGCCATCTAGAATAAAAGAGAAAATTCTGTGTAGCTCTCATCTGGTTCCAAACCCTTGATTTTTACCACCATTCCACAAAATCAGTACTGGACCTGCAGAGGTATTATAGAGCACACAGCATAGTCCCAGCTGTGAAGGCCTTTCTCAGTCTGCAGATTTAAGGAGTTGATATGCAGAATGAAGGAAACAGACCAGACAGTCCTCAAAGGGACTTTCCAGCTCTCACATTTCATAAATCTCAACTCTGATGAAGGAAATTATTAGATGATTTTTTCAAAGAAATTAGAATAGATGTTGGAAGTTTTAGGATTCATTAGTGTATCAGAGGGGATGGTTTGGGCTGCAAGTAATAAAATGCTTTTCTGAAAGTAGTTTAAATAACAAGGTTTAATTATCTCACATTATGGGATGTCCAAACATAGGCTAAGGTGCCAGCAGATTTCCTTCTCGTGTCACATTAACTGGAATTGAGTCACATGCCTTTGCCTTCACCAGTCACTGGCAAAGGGGAAATGGGATTCCTAATGCACTCAGACTCTCTGAAATTGGGTCACCTTCCACGAGCATTTTGCTGCCTGATGTTTGAACCAAAATCAGAGTTCTGTTAGCAAGAAATAAAGGGTTGCTGTTGGGTAGGCAACCAGTGATATCCTCCACAGTTAAAATATTCCTGTAGCTTCATTTGTCATCTCACCTGAGACCCAGGATAACAAGCACAGTGAAATGAACACGTCACCCAGAAATCTTGCTTTATTCCTTAACTCTAATATCTCTTGCTACCTCTATTCACCATGAGTACACATCTCTATAAAACATCAGTAATGTGCCTATTTTGAAGTCCATTTTTTTTTCACCGTACCCCTGCCTTGCCCCCAGAAATTCAGAAAATGGTCAAAATCAACTACAAAGATAAAATGGAGAGGTGGAAAGCCTGGAGAACTGACAAACTGAACAAACCATTGTGAATAGAGATTTGAGTGGCTCACACCCTCAAATCCTCAAATGGTCTAACTTTCCATGATTCAATCTTCTGCTAAAGGCAAGGAAAATGAGCATTATTTATGGCAAAAAGGAAGGGTGAGAATGGATTTCTATGGGGGAAGGGGAAGAGAGAAGATGCACGCATATGATTCATTTGTAAGATATTTTTAACTTAAAATAGGGCACTTAGTATTGCGATCAAGCAACTCTAAACAACTTACCTGTTTCTGCGTGGAAAGTCAAGCAAAAAGCTTAAAAAGGCTTTGTCTAAAAAGTTCAAAACTATGAGCCTCATCATGAGGAGGGTTCTTTTTCATAAAACATCTGTCACCATAATTGCCACCATAAAAGCTAGCTCATCCCTTTCAGGTTGTGAGGGTGCCATGCAGCCCACTGAAAGGGAGCCCTGGGAACCAGGACACAGAATCACATCTTCACTCTGCTATTTGACTCCAAGCCTTAGTTTCTCTGAAGCACTTTTTGAGCTTTGGAACCACAGGGAAGTTTCATTCTGGGGGAAGGAGAAAGGGAAAGAGTTGAGCAAGGTGAAGGGAGGGTGCTAGAAACCAGTAGGATTCACTGGGAAAGAGAGCAAGCTTCCTGTATAAATTGTTTGGCAGCTAACTCGCTGCTGACCGCCATTTCCTGTTCTGTGCACTAAAAAATAACTACAATTGATCTGCCCAGACTGACTCAGAAGAAGTCTCTACTGATCTCTACTCAGTGTCCAGATTTTCACTCTTCACTTCTATTACAGCCTTGCTTCGTATGGCCCCATTCCCCAGTCTAGAATGACCTCAGCTGGTCCAAAGACCACTCTCCATCCTCCTCATAGCTCATCTCTTCCATGGGAGCCTTCCCTGCTAGTTCTAGTCCTCACTGTTGTCACATTCTCTCATTGGAATTTAGCATCACCATGCTTAATATGTAATTTATTCTCTCTTGGCAAACTGTGTATCCAAATAATCTCCCAAAATAGACTGTATTCTTTGAACATGCACAGTAAGTGCTAGGCAGGCACAGTAAACATGCATACCTGTACCAAAAGGACACTATGGTGAAAAGAATATGGAGGAATCAGATAGAGCTAGAGAGGATGAAATAGTGAAAGACCTTATAAGCCTGATAGCATTTCAGTTTTATAAAGTCGGCAATGGGTAGCCAATAATAGCATTAAGCAGAGAAATACAGTTTTAAAAATAGCATTAAGCATGGAAATGCATTTTTAAAAGATCATTCTAGTTGTAGTGTGGCGAATCAGTGGAGCACAACAGTGCTAGAGGCAGAGAGACCACGTCTGAGGCAATAGAAGTAATACAGGTATGACAGGGACAAGCTATACCAATACATGCGTGATTAGCACCTTTTCAAGAAATGCCTATCAAATTAACTTGACTTCCATTGGTTTTTGATATTCTGCTGATGTGCTTTTAAAATACAACTCTGCGTCACATTAGCTATAAAAGCAATGATAATGGCTGAACCTCAAATATCACAGTATGGATGGAGAAAGCCAAAAAGATTAGTGAAATAGTGGAGCTAAAATGAAAGAATTGTTGACTGACTTAATTTGAGAATTAAAAGAGTACATGGGTGATAATACCGTTCACTGAAATAGGGAATACAAGAGGAATGGAAGCAGATTTGAGCTGAGGGTTCAGATTGGGACATACTGAGTTTGAGGTACCTGTGTGGCATGCAGGGAAAGATATTTGGCAGGCAGCTGGGTACAAGTCTAAAGCTCAAGGGCTGAAATATAGATTATATTTGTGATTATTGGATTCTCCATGGTAATGCCAAAACAAAGGGAGTGGGTAAGAACTCCCAAGAAGGGCATATAGCATAAAAAAAGAAGGATAAGGCCGAACTCTGAGAACCATGAATATCAAGAGAATGCTGACCAACATACAAAAGAGATTGAGAGGAAGAGACCTGACAAGTGAAGAGGAAAACTGGAAGGGAATGCTCAATAGCAAATGCACTGTAGAGGTCATGGGTAATTAGCTGTTTTCTTAAGAAGCCATTTGATTCACAGCATTAGTGACTCTGATATGAGTGCCTTTAATAGGATACTAATTAATGGGTATCATATTTTAGTGGTAAGAGTATGAAATGAGGAAGTGCAGAACGTGAAAATAGATCACTCCTTTGAAATGTTTGGCTGGGAAGTGGAACCTTGGCATTGAAACAAATCAGTGCCCAGATGTGGGCAAATCAACACACAGATGTGGCACAGGAGATCCTTGAATGAGATCCGCTGAGGTAGAGTAGATAAGAGTGCTTACCAGGCTGAAATTTATATGGAGGCACAAGAGACCTCGAATAGCTAAAGCAATCTTGTACAACAAAAACAAAGCCGGAGGCATCACAATACCAGACTTCAGGACATACTACAGGGCAGTTGTAATCAAAACAGCATGGTACTGGTACAGAAACAGATGGATAGACCAATGGAACAGAATTGAAACACCAGAAATCAACCCAAACATCTACAGCCAACTTATATTTGATTATGGATCTAAAACCAATTCCTGGAGCAAGGACAGTCTATTCAATAAATGGTGCTGGGAAAACTGGATTTCCACGTGCAGAAGCATGAAGCAAGACCCCTACCTTACACCTTACACAAAAATCCACTCAACATGGATTAAAGACCTAAATCTACGACCTGACACCATCAAGTTATTAGAGAACATTGGAGAAACCCTTCAAGATATTGGCACAGGCAAAGAATTTCTGGAAAAGACCCGGGAGGCACAGGCAGTCAAAGCCAAAATCAACTATTGGGATTGCATCAAATTGAGAAGTTTCTGTACTGCAAAAGAAGCAGTCAGGAGAGTGAAGAGACAACTGACAGAATGGGAAAAAATATTTGCAAACTATGCAACAGATAAAGGGTTAATAACCAGAATCTACAAAGAGATCAAGAAACTCCACAAAAACAAAACCAACAACCCACTCAAGAGATGGGCCAAGGACCTCAATAGACATTTTTCAAAAGAGGAAATCCAAATGGCCAACAGGCACATGAAAAAATGTTCAAGGTCACTAGCAATCAGGGAAATGCAAATCAAAACCACAATGAGGTTTCACCTCACCCCGGTTAGAATGGCTCACATACAGAAATCTACCAACAACAGATGCTGGCGAGGATGTGGGGAAAAAGGGACACTAACCCACTGTTGGTGGGAATGCAAAATGGTCAAGCCACTATGGAAGTCAGTCTGGAGATTCCTCAGAAACCTGAATATAACCCTACCGCTCGACCCAGCCATCCCACTCCTTGGAATTTACCCAAAGGAATTTAAATTGGCAAACAAAAAAGCGGTCTGCACCCTAATGTTTATTGCAGCACAATTCACAATAGCCAAGACCTGGAACCAACCTAAATGCCCATCAACGGTAGACTGGATAAAGAAATTATGGGATATGTACTCTTTAGAATACTATACCGCAGTAAGAAACAATGAAATCCAAT